GATATTAGAACAATTTAAATATGAACGTGTAGGTGTCTTGAGACATGAGCCATAATGTATATATCAAAATACTGATAAAATCCGTTCCCAGCTTGATTGTATTTGCATTGTTGCAGACAAAGTTGTGCAATGGTGGGTTTATGTCACATACTCGTATGTAATTCCATGTGCATGCTTGTACTTTGATGCCTCAAGAGATGGTTCGAATGTGTAATAAAGGCTGTTCGCAGGAGTTGGGCTGTCTGTCCTTAAATTGCATTGTTTTTATGATATTTTAACATTGTATTCATATGGCTGGACCATCTTGCCATTGCCACAATGTCTGATGTTCAAACAGGCTTTAAAATCAGGTTACAATGCATGCTTGAAAATATGCAACAATTTCACTGCTAATAATATTCCAGAAAATCCTGCCTCTTGGGCAGATCTGGACTGATTTGTCAGAGGAGGTTGGAGGTTTTTTACTTGTGATCGGGCAAGGGGAGCTAGCCAAGGGTGCTGGGTCAGAGTCAAACTCATGTGAACAGCTTCTAAGTCCTAATTATATTGATAAATTATGTACACTTTGGGATGGTAATGCACTTTGTAAAATATTCCACATTTTATTTAATAAAATTTAATTATATACATTGTTTTTGTTGTTTATATTAACACCTTGGACAGTGTATATTTACACCTTTGGACCCTGTAAATAAACACCTTTGGAGTGTGTACCCATTCTAAGCCAAAGACGTTTAAGAACAATTATCAAGGTATTTGCATGATAAAATATATTTAAAACTGCTATCCATATACATGTAATGCATGGTTCAATTCTTGCTTTTACCAAGTAAACCCAGGGATTTTCGTGTCCCCCTCCTCTCATAGAATTCACTTGAAACGACTGCGGCAAAGTAGCTATAAGTATAAGTAGGTATATAAAAGTAAAATTTACAAATAGAGCTTTTTGAATATAGACCATTGCAAAAATTTTTTAATCTGTTTAACCCTTTATAGTGGCAATGTGCCCTACTTTAGTATATTACTCCATCTAGTGCCGGACAATTTTACCCAAGGGCAGAATGTAGACTTGCCACAAGTCGACCTCGAACGAAACGTCGGCTCACACTCACTGCTTGCGTTTTGTTCGAGGTGGACTTGTGGCAAGTCTAGGCAGAATGCTGCCACTCAATGAGTTAATATATTCTCAGAACAGGTACCATCAAATTAAATCTATTTTGCTGGCAGAATTGCCTTGGAGGGGGTCCTTGATTTGTTGAGACTGTTTTTTTTCTTGGGGGAGGGGGGGTGAGTGTTGTAAAAAACAGAATAGCAACTGGTTTCAGAATAGAAAGAATTGTTGTTATATAGGTAATATAATTCTAAGACAAATCATCCAAAGGAAGCAATCATTCTAGCTCTTATAGTGTATGTTGCAACAGGGATGGATTTACTGGGGGGTGCACCCCCCTAGCCCTGGCCAGAGGGGTGCTATTTTTCATGATAAAGCAAAAAATTATTACAGGCAAAATGAGATACAGTAATTTGAGTAATAACATGATGATAAGTGAGCTGTGAACAACAATTACAAATCAAATACAGTAGTAAAGCAAGACTTTGCAGTAGTGAAGCAAGTTGATGGGCGGGCGGCACACATGACCGACACAACTCGGCACCAGAGCTGGCAGAGCAACCCCCCCCCTACCAGATCATGCTGGATCCATCCCTGTGTTGCAAAATGTATTTTCTTCATAGTCAGGCCTTCACATGAATGAAGATTAGAATTGCATTATCTTATATAGTCTTAAATATTTAGGAGGGGTCTCCATTATTAAATTTAGAGATTAAAAAGGGGTCCCATGACATTTTGACATAAGAATCTCCCACGCCACCCTAGGGTATAATGAATGGTCACTTAAAGTACATGCCATCTTCTAACTGGTTGGGCACTTTGCCCCTTTTGTGATGGAAAATCTATTCCCTACCTTTGTCCCCTGGGACAAAAAATTCAAATCAACTCTCCACCCTGATAATGTGCAGATGGTAACAGCAAGAACTGAAGCAAGCAAGCTTTACTGGAGTACATACTATTATTAGGAAGCATCAATTCGCACATGCTAATTTGCCAGTCATGATTTTAAACGGAATATTTCTTATCTCGTATAGAATTCTTAAGGTCTTGTTTACATTTTACTGGAAGCAAACTAAGATGCATATCCAATATTTGGGTCATATCACTCATATGTCAGTTTTGCAGCTTGCCAGCTTCAACAACATTTGGCTGCAAGGAAAACGTAAACAAGGAAAGAGCATATAACACTTCCTCTGTGTTTAAAATATCAATGAATAAATATTCCAACCATTGGCACTTTATAATATAAGTGACATTCAACAATAGATCAATAACATATTATACAGTATATGCAAAAATATTTCTTTGAATCACTGTATAAAATATTCTTCATAAACTCGCTCCAATCGTCGCACAGCAGAGTCTTTGGAAGGGTAAAACCAAGTTTAACATCCCCAGTTCAAAACACTCTCCGTGTCCTCTTAGGCAAGCCTGTCCAGCTGGAGAACATCTCTGTTAATTTTGTTTAGCGAACGAACGATATTTACCAAACACAGTTAGAAGAACAACAACTACATAGTTCCCATGTAATAAAAGCTGAAGAATCTGATTTCGAGTACGTCTGTAGCAAAAAGAAGGAAAAATTTCAAAGACTAAACGCATTTTTAAGCCACTCTAAGCACTTAAATTTTGTGGACACTCTTAGGTTGGCGGCCATCTTGGATTTTCTAATTCATTATTATTATAATTTATTACACCCACTATATCTGGGTGTTGAAAGTCATGTGACCGGCCGGTGCCAGGGCTTTTCCCGCCTTCCCAATGACACAAAGGGAAAAACCCTGGGAACGACGTTGTCAACACAAGTAACTATAATTACAAACACAATGTACTGTTATTTAAAGACTTTATATGTGCTCCATGTATTTATGTAATATAAAAAGTAATCTGGTTAATTAAATTGTTATAAAAATATGTGATATATAATATACAGTTGAAAAAAGCTTGTATTTTCTTGTCATAGACACATGTGCATATAGAACAGCTTATACGTTTGGTTCTCAAGTCAATCGAACGGTAATTTGATATCGCTGCCATCATCGTAGTGTAACGCAGAATGGCCTTGTATCATGCATGCAGAAATGCCTTACACTAGTGCAGCATTAATAGCTCTTTCAAGTTTTACCATTGAATATTTAACAAATATAAAACATTTTCCGTGTTGATATACAGTTATATCAACACGAGTGGAATTGGGAAAACGAGAAATTGTATGGAAACACGACGCCCGAAAGGCGGGGTGTTTTCATACAATTTCGAGTTTTCCCAACTTCCACGAGTGTTGATATAACTATATATCAACACGGAAAAAATGTTTTATATTTTTTTTATAATATAGCAATGTCAAAAGCCCGAATGATAAGAAAAATTTCCGTGTTTACAAGCGGCGAAAAATTTCCCGTGTTGACATTGAGTTATATCAACACGGCTCTTAGCCAATCAGCCTTCAGAATTTACAAATGCTATATTATAAAATTTAATAATAGTGGGATTTAAAGCACCTTTAAACGTATAAAAAAATATTATATTTTAATGAAATCTGTGCCCTCGCGAATTTAGTAAGCAGAATAAACGAGAGCAATAAAAGCGCATGCGCCATATTTATCTCATTTTGGATAAAATAATTCGAGTTCTCCAGAGTCATGCCACTAACAAGCATACTCTGGGAACGAGATTGGAAAATAACAGGTTGTAACCAACACTAGATGGGTTGAGAAATTAAACGACGATAGACTGCGACTGGTGCCTCCTTTCCGCGGGTTTAGATTTCCGGGAATGCGAAAGGAAAGCCGGGACGGCCAAGAAATGAAATACGCGTTGCCCACAAAGACCTCAAATAGCACTCGTCCTTCGGACTCGTGCTATTTTGAAGTCTTTGAAAAACTCACTCGTGCATGTTATATCCAAATGGCACTCGAAACCATGCTATTATACCTATACTAATTGAACAATCTATCTATTTCTTCTCCTTTGCGTAATTACTGTAACTATATACCAAATGTTCTCGGCTAAATCTTTGCCTATATACCAAATGTTCTCGGTTAAACATAGATAATGCTGAAATTAAAGAAGCATTTTTCCACCGGTCTTAGTTGTGATGATACTACATAGCGCGACGTACGACATTTTACCCACGATGCACGACATTTTACCCACGATACGGGACGCACGATCAAAACTCAGCGTGAGTTAGCCTGACACATCTGTTGTAGTAACATTTTGGAGTGTTAATTAATGCATCAACTGTAATATAGAGGTATTTTTTTTTTGGAAACCTGGAAAAAAACGTTAGCACGGCCTATTCGTTAGTCGTTACTGTACGGACTGCGTTACGTTTTGAAATCCCAACAGCCTTATGGTACAGTTGTCACCATGGTTATTAAATATTTAAAAACAATACAGCTGCTCTTGATAGAATAGAAATGAACTATTTTGCATATTTCAAAACTGCACTCACGATATTTATTCGATTTCAAACATAACGGTTTTCAATTATTTTCTATAAGAATAGTGACTTCTGTTTTCTATGATTGAGGTCTGTCGGAAACCGGAACCGTACGAACAGGGCCGTAGCTAGACCGATAATTGGGGAGGGGGGGGGTTGCATATTTTGTCGTGTTCTGCCCGACGGATTTCTTTTGAAAGCGATTGTTTTTACGGTATTTGAACATGAATATATGATTATACAACCCCTCCCGCCCCAATTATCGTGTCTAGCTACGGCCCTGCGTACGAACGGATAGTAGAAGTCGATATTTCCGCTGATATTTATACAAGAAACTGGTGGGAATCTCCCAAACCGTAAAGCACTACAAAAAGAAGTGAAACCTCAATTAGAAAGATTGGCAGAAGCATTCAACACAAGCCGAAGGTGCAAAAAATTGAAAGCATGTCGAATGACAAACCAAATGATATAATTCTCAATGATCGAACGTACAACAATTTACGAAGTCCGCCGCAGTCAGTTGAAGAGATAGACAAAATAAAGCAAGAGAAGTTGACTAGCGATATTATTAAAACATCCAACGATGCAGAAACTCAAGATGCCTCATTACGAAAGGTGACATTGCTAGACATTATTAACTATTATAACTTAATTCGTTCCTTTGTACGCAATTCGAATACCAAGCAACAATAATCATACATTAAACTATTCCGCTCTTTTATAGCAAATTTCTGATATCTGTTCGACTCTCGTGACGAGTCATGACCAAGGGCAGCAAGTGAACGACATATCGAAATTACCAGCCATTGCAGATCTTTGTGGAATCCTAAGACAACTTTCAAGTACGTATGATAAGTGTATATAGTGAAATTATAATTGATGTTTTTTTATGGTAATGAATTACAAGAATGTTCGATGATCTGAAACTATATATTAGGCCTGTTTGTTAATTACTAGTAACAAGACGCTCGAAAGAGCGTTAACTCGCTGGGGATATAAAACCTGTCCTCTGTTGCAAAATTGCGGTGTCCGTGCCAACTGTTTAGCACCGCCACCATAGCAGACGGTTTTATGGGGGGAGGAGTTTGTTCGGAAACTAATGTCAAATGCTTCCTTAAAATTATTAATCTTGGACTCTCAGGACCGACTATCTCTGGTTTTATGCACCCAAGGACCCAACAAGGACAAAAATACCAACGTTCGAATCAGCGTACGAAATTGTATTTACGCGGATGCCAAATTAATTACTAAAAAAACAAGAGTATTCTAGCGATTTATGGCCTTTAAATTCAAGCGAAATTGTATCACTCAGTATGATCTGCAGACTGCAGACCAAGTACAAAATGCAGAATAGGTATAAATTGCAGACTGAAATTGCAGACTTGGTATAAAATGCAGACAGCGAAAAAACGTATAGGGTCCGTACTCAAATGTCAGTTTTATTTCACGAGAGTTGTGGGAACTGCTAAATATAGCAAACGTAAGCAAGACATTTTAAACCGTATTTAATACCTAAAGAGTAGAGAAGGATATTGAACTAAAATGAGCTAGATACACAAACTAAAAGAAACAACAAACCATCGCAAAAATAAATTTGAGTAGTGAATGACTTTTAAGTTTGAGAAAGAACAATTTATCCTCGAAATTAAATGCGCATTAAACCCGCTTACGCCAGACTATAGTATAGCAGTAATATTATGATTTTGTTGTGCTTAAATTTTGCAATAATGTTAACTAAAATATCTTGCATCGACAATGTCAATGACCCGTAAAACTCGAAGTTGTAAATGACAGTATAACATATTAAAATATACTTTTTTGTAGCACAGTCTGCATTTTATACCAGGTCTGCAATTTCAGTCTGCAATTTATACCTATTCTTCATTTTGTACTTGTTCTGCAGTCTGCAGATTATACTGACCGGAACTGAATTGTATTGTTGACAATTGACAAATCGCTCAAAATTATTATTTAACTAATTAAAAACGCAGTACGTTTGATCCTTGATAACTTGCGTATCGTTGGCTGTCTCTTTTTCGGACCAATGGATTCGTCTCACTTTTCTCTTCATTTTGATAGTATTTTGATCCGACAATAGTTTATCTTGAAGGTTTTAAAGCGACGTTTTAACCAGGCGTACGGAACAACTGCCGGCTGACAGGAGAAATGTAGCATACTATAAAATATAACCCTTACTCGTAGCACAGCTTGTAATAAGCGAAAACGCTGGAAGGTTTTCTTTGTAAAGCACCGCATTTTAGTATGTGTCTGGTCTTTACTCTGTTCTTATAAAAGCATAGTTACCACTTAGCAGTCTTATATCGCGTTTATATTTCATACAATTGTTCCTATGCATGCATCGCTGCATGTCTTTGTATTTCTGTCTTTGTAGGGCTATAAGATGTCATTTTGACTGCTTAAGGTGGCTCCCTACAGTTCTCTAAAATTCTAGGTATTTTGAGTAACGTTCCCTTTGAACCGAATTTATATTAGATACACTTAAGACAAGGCAATATGATCATTTCCAGGAAAGTTCAGAAGCTGTGTGCTGTCCATTTATGAACAAATTAGAACAGTGTTCGTGTTGCCATGGCAACCATGATGTTTAATCTTTTGCACTTTTATTGTCTAATTTCACAATAAATTGACAATATCTATAGTTTCCTTCGGTGAAGTTTTCTGAATGTTTTTTTGAAGACTTATGGCCCATAAAGGAAAAACATATCAAAATTTGAAGGGAATTTACAAATAATTTTTCGAAATATTCGTGAATGACGGTTACAGAAAAAGTTATTTGTAGAATTTCGTAAAATTTGGATATGTTGTACTATTCGTCTTGTGTAACAAAAATACAAAGTTTAAAAAAAATTCACCGAAGAAAACACGAGAAAATCATCGCTAAAATCGGCGTGGCCAGCATGAAAAAAACTCCACATGAGCACGATCTGCGCATGCGTGTAAATTGTAGCATGTGATTTATAGTGATTTCAACTTTTTGACTTACAATACATACGAAAACAGATATTTCTGACTTGTTTGACATGGAAAATAAAATATTAATCTTGAAAATACTAATAAAAAACACTATTATACGCATTATATTAAATCCAGTGTTAGTTTACATTTGTTTTTTTGTTAAAATCGGTGTGAAAACTTTTCAAAACATCGAACTACAAGTTTAACTTTTCATATAAAACAACTCATAACTGTTTTATTTGATTTAGCAGATAAAACGATACCTGTGAATTGAATTGATTGACAGAACTTACATAAGTTTCGGCGACAGTTCACTACTGTTCAAGAGTTATAGAAGACAGTATCATTTCAGTTTGACAGTTCGCAACACAACAAGTTGAAAATTTTGAGCAATATGAAAGACAATACTGAACGTAAATACGTAAAAACACACTAAAATATTGGCTAAACTAGTTAATAACATACGTACTGTTCGAATTCACAAAAAAATTAGGGTTATAATGAAAAACTGGAGCTTTCTTTGTAGATAAAAACGCAAAAAAACTTCCCGCGGCTTGTTTCAATATTTTTGCCGAATAGTAAACACGACGATTCCACGCGCAGGTCGCGAGGATCAAGTCTGATCTATATAAATCGTATTTAAACTGTACTAACTGTAGGGAGCCACCTTAACAGGATTTATTTATGTATTAATATACATCTCCGAATTCGTTATTCTTGTCGTTGAATCCTCAATGCCGTAAAAAAGCAGTTTTAAAAGAACGTAAACATATTGGATACTGATTTAAATAAACAACAGCTTTGGCTTTTTTAGTAAAATTCTTGAATTTTTCTCAAAACGTAAGGTATTTATGGATAATTTGGGTAAAATTGGCAGGAGCCTTATGGCAGTTCATTAATATTCTATTTTCTAGCTATCAATCGGACAAAAATTTGAGCCGAAACCTATACTCGCCAGGGCACAGGTGCCCCAGCGCACAGGTGCCCCAGCGAGTAATTAGGCTCGTTTAATATGTCGAATCTCAGTCGCGTCGAATGCAATTCAAACTGAATACTCAATAGATAGTGAAGCTTAATTTAATGAGATTTATCATCTTATTTATCACTTATTTACTGAGACCGAGGGAAACAGTGTGTTTTGTGGACCCGAGACCGTCGATGTTTCCCGAGGCGAAGTGTTTTATTATATATCAATAGTCAAAGAAACAACAAATTAAAGAACAAATGAAGGTATAAATACATGAAATATTTTATTGTTGCTGCCGAAGGCAGCACACTATTCTTAACATGAAGTACTGCGTTTACGTGTGCCCAGTCTCTTTGGCCGAGTTATGTATAGCCGAACGACAACTCGATTTGATTTGCAATGTACGTACGAATGTTTGGATGTTTGGATGTTTGGATGATCAGATTTATGACGTATTATGACGTCACATAAATTTTACAATAAAAATAGCATACTCCAGATCGCGATTTGACTTTCCGAATACCCTGGTGGAACCTCACGAACACCACCATGAACCATGACAACTTGTATGCCTCGTTCTCGTTGCAAATTTTCGTATGTCTGGCTCTCTCATCTCTGGCTGTTTATCGAAATATTTTTGAAGGTAAGATATACGTTTGATCACAAATAACAATCTGTTTTGGTCGAAGTATTTTACCCGTTGAAACTTGAAACGAATGAATTAACGTACTGTAGTGAAATTATTAAATTTTTAGGTGCATACAAGTTTTCATATAATTATAAACAAGTGGAGCTCGTTGATTGTCAGTTTGTAACCGAGAAAAAATCTGATTGAGCTTGATATAACATCGTTCTTCAAGGTATAGATGATCACAGTGATAGTTTATTATTAATATTGTTATTATATGGGAATATCAATTGAGCAGTATGCCAGTATCGTGCCTGTATTGGAACACACAATTGTATACCAATGAAAAATTATCTGACTTGTACAAACTTAAGATAATGATTTTTTTGTGTTGGTGTAATGTACTCAGGTGAATATGCTGACCACGGTGGTCAGGCATATTTTTCAAGCTTGCCCGGTGTGGATATACACTCACAGTAACATCACAAGCATTGTACAAAGATATTCCTATTGCGACCCAGTGTGGATTGTTGTCTGCACATATTATTAAACTTACCAGCAGTTACATGTAATAACATGTCAACCGACTTTTGTAGAAGGTATATGACGGTCCATAAAAATATATCTCTGAGATATGTCCATTGTTAGCATAATATGAAATAATCCTACCAGCCTACATTTATATATTCACCTGGCTGTGTCACTACAGTACTCAGGGGCCGGTTACATGGAAAACTTTCAACCCCGGGGTTGAACTCAGCCCTGTTAACCGTGTTGAATTTTTTTGCGATTACATGGACGATTTCAACCCTGGGGTTGAAACGCTATACTACATGTTCTCGGCATCGATTCCCGAGATTTAAGTAAAAAAAGCCCTCATTTTGTTTTCTTGTAATAAATAGTCACTGCCACGCATGCTCGAATAAGTCATGATAATTTCAGCCCTGGGTTAAAAAGATTACATGACAAAATTGTGCTAGCTGAAGCAGGGTTGAAATTTCAACCCCGGGGTTGAACTCAGCCCTGGGTTGAAAATTTTGTCATGTAATCGCGTGTTTGATTTTGATAGAGTTTTGTGTTACAGACAGGGCTGAAATTTCAAACCAGTAAACAGGGCTGAGTTCAACCCTGGGGTTGAAAATGCTCCATGTAATTGGCCCCTCCTGAAGGGTATACTTTATTTTTTGATAATGCTCACAATTGTATTATATAGTTTTGCTGTTCTGACTGATCATGAGTACAATCTTAATGATTACAAATATGAATGGTGTCAGCAGAAGCTGACATATGGAACAAAACTGTCAACAACAGATTTTGTCTCCCCATCAAGCATCAGCAGATTGTTCAGTTGTTTTGCAATAGGGCCATTATTGCAATAATAAAAACAATAATTGCGACAAAACCTGATTTAATATTTCTATATATGGAATTGTTATTAAATTGTACATGTCCAATGATTCATTCAAGTATCATTATTGTTTATATATATTAATATGATTTTGTACAGTATTCAGTGGCAAGCTAGCTACCATGGCAACTGGTCATGCCATGCCAATAAACCTGCATTATTTGAATAATGCAAATCATTAACTTCACTGACAGTGTTATAACTATACATACAAAAGCAAGAAGTTATAAGCATTGAATGTATTCATATACACTGCCCATGCCAAGAAAGTAGAATTAGAATATTTAGCTGCCTTTCTACCTTGTGCAAGGTGCTTGATACTCAAATTGCACTTTTCCTACCTCCTGAACAGGTGTAGACCTTAGAGGCTGTTTACATGATGGAATGTGGGATGATTTTTGATGTATTGGAATAAATGACTAGGCTAAACAAAAGCTTAATTGCTTGTTAACAGAACTCAAATATTGTAGAGAAAATCTTGTAGTTCAAGAAGATTATAATTGCTGCTTGAACAACCTTTTGTTCACAGTTAACTATAATCTCTAGAAAATGTTTTTTGGTGAATTGTGCACTGTGACTCATTTCAATTCATCGGAATCATCCCTCCTCATACTGAACTCGTCCTGGCGAAACGGGATCGCATAAACTACCCCTTATTCAGCAAATTGGGCATGGTACCAGCTCTTGGGGGTGAGGCAGCATATTCCTTGCGCGATAGTAACTTCTAGTTAAAACGTTATATTAAACACTGGCTACACTGCAGTTACTTAAAGCGTGAGTTTTAATTACGTACTAGGCATGTCCAAAGGTCGCATCTTCACGTGATGTCGCACGTGAATTTTTTTGTTATTCGCCGGTCGATAACGTATTATCTCCCTCTCGCGCTGTTGCGAGGGAGACAGCCTAATTTCGTCACTCTCACGTGATATGCTCTCAACCAATAAAACACTAGAAAAATGCGACTTTGACTATTGATATATAATAATATCTATTGTCTTAATTGCATTCGACGCGACCACAATGGACAACTTGCATGTAAGACTAAATTTAAATCTAAGTAAAGAGAAAGGAATAAAACGCAACAAATAAAAAGAAAGTAATGAAATTTGCAAAATTGCAAAATTTGGTTGCGAAATGTTGTAAAATACAGAAATATAGCCTTGCGAAGTTTGTATATTTTCAGTATATTTGTATCGCGTGCGGAAATTGTTACCATTTTCGGCTCAAAAATGGTAACAATTTCCGCACGTAATACAAATATACTGAAAATATGCAAACGTCGCAAGGATATAGTTTCTACATTTTACAACATTTCGCAACCAAATTTTGCAATTCAGTACTGATTTTAATAAGTTCTTTACGGGAATTTACTTTTTTGGCCTAAACTAGAAAATACATGCATGCAGAAACCCTCGCCTTGCTGACAAAACCATTGTATGTTCCGAACATGAAGTTCTAAAATAGTTGTCATGGTAACACTATAATTTTTTAAGAATATTCTTACAAATGAAAAATCGCCTAAAAATATAACTTTTAATTACAAAATCATTAATTTCCCAACATATATATGTTAGGTATATGTTATTATACGTAATATAAGCCTCAATTTAAGGTAAAATTCAACCACAAATGCTTCGCAAAACGTTTTAAAGTGCTCTTTAACTAAACTGCCTTTAATGATTAAAATGCTTATAATGTTCTTGTCGTTTCACGCAAATAACATGCCCACAAAAACGTTGTTTTAACTCGTAACTTTAATAGAAAGTAAAAGAAAAGGTAAACAACGGTTCCGGGCAAACCGTAGACTTCTTACATCCTTTATATCATGCTATAAATCACATTTTTAAAGTCTTCGTAAATATAAAATGTCTTCTTGTTCTGAGTAAATATTTCTAGACCTCGAGGACAGTCACGTGATCTAAAGTTCGCGACGCACACGCGCGCACGCCACGCGATAGCAGTTACATGGCTCCCCTAAATTTGCTAAAATTTACGCAATCATAAACATAACATAACAGAATTTGAAGTAAAAATCTCGATACTTGAAAGGCTCCTCGTCGGGGATTCCCGGTCATTGTTCACATGGTACTAACAACACCAGTTTGTGGATTGGACGTTCCAGTGTTCTCAATGGGTTTGTCCTCCTTCCTTGGTTCGTGATCTTCCGATCTCTGACAGCAAGCTTCACTTTACGGACTAAACCGTCTTCTTCTTCGTCGGCCTTTACCACACGAGCGACGATTCCGAGGTGTATCATTATCTTTAATCACGACAACGTCATCAACCTTGTATTTAGCATCCTTGGTGAATCGTGTTTTCAGTCGACCCAGACGTGATTCCGCAAGGCTTCGGTTAAATGGTAACCCAATGTTTTTTTCTCGAAAGGGAAGTGGCAATTCGTAGTGGCCATCGTCTGTGATGTGAATCGCTCCCTTTGTTTTTTCTAAGAATCTTCTATCTTCTTGTGATAAGGATTTCCCTTCTCCGTTCCTTTCAGAAAAGTCCTGTTCGAACATTCTTCGTACTGCATTGGGGTTTAACCCTTCATTGGTCGGCTTACGTGAAATGAAATTTATAATTAACTCTGGAGAATCTTGAGATGCAATATCTCGTGTTTGTATTCGATGACAGTTGGATATGTCAGTGTTGTGATGCTTGTGACTCTGATTCGTTGCGCCAATCAGACCCCATCCAAGCACTGTTCGGACAGCATACGGGTCTCGTGGGTTTCCAGGGATAACATCGCGTGGTTTAATGGC